ACTACTACTACTACTACTAATACTTGGTGGCAATCAAACCTATTACGACTTTTCGTGCTGCTACTACCACAAAGCAGACCTGGGATCGTGCTAATCGTAGCTGTGATGCTACGCCACCATCAGCCCTAGCACCGGTCAAGCAGTGCAGAAGGCAAATAATAATCCCTAGCGCCGAGGATGGCTCGGGCCCATTTCAAGGCTCAGAACTTCCTTGCTGGCCGGCAGTGGCTCTTCGAGGAGACCTTCAGAGATCGCGCCTGGGCGTCGATATTGTTGCATGTGTATGTATGCATGTGTGTGTACATACTTATGTATATTTATATTTATATAGATATTATATATATATATAGAGTTTTACACATGCGCATACATGCGTACGTATATATATATGATGCAGGGCTGCCACACATGAAGAGACCTAAATGTGCAAATGATAGTCCAACAATTCCACTTATTCGGGCTTGGCAGTTTGGCGGAGCAGTTCAGCGGTTGAGTGGGAGTCGGACACAAAAAGCCGGCAAAAGGATTGGATGCTCCCCCCTTAGGCCGTGCCACACAGCGCAGCACCTCAAGCAATTCAGGTTCGTTACTTTGCATAGTCCAGTTTCGTACCTATATACGAGCACGAACTACGTGGCAAAAGGCATCTTGGAAGGGAGCCCGGATTTAAGACGGTTCGTTGGTCGGGGTCCAAGCCGGGTCCCTTGATCTTCTCTGGTCTTGTATGCACGAAGGTGGCCACAGCACCATTTACAGCTACTTATATATTGCTGCTGTTGTTGATGTTCTTCTGGGAAATTACTGATCCTGTTCCTGCGACGACGCCGTCTGCCACTACGGCGACGACAGCTGCGACTACTGACTGTTGCCTTCGGGCTTTGCGGGTGCGTTGTCTCGAGTCTTGCCAGTGGAGGGTTGTGGAGATCCCAAAGTCTGGAGAGATGCCACATGTTCCAGGTCTCGCGCCGGACATCGTGAGCTACAACGAGCTCCTGGGCTGGAAATCACGTTTCGGCTTAGATTCTGACTTTTTCGCAGAGGGTTTGGATTTCCTAAGTAGACCCACCCACGCCCCGGTACAACGAAAGCCTCAATGATCGGAAACGTCCTTGTGATATGGTCGTATTATGGTCCATCTGCAATGAAACCACGAGTTGCTGCAAGCTTGGTCCGATTTTTTGAGCCCCTTTCTGTACCACCGTAGTCTTTTGATGCATATATTTCGTGGCTTGAGGTAATGCAGAACAGCAGAAATTCGAGCTCGTGAGCAAATCAGACAGGGCCAGGGCAGTCTGGGCTGCAGTTCATTCATGTGAGACGCTATTTGTGCCTGAAGCTTTGGGATTTGGGGAGTTTCGGGTTTGGGGCGGGGCTTAAGCGTCAAGCTTCGGAGAAGGGCAGTTGAGACTGACCGCCGGCACCAGAGGTGAAAATCTGCAGGCCAGCCTTTGTCAGAAGTGTATTGCGCTACAAGCAAGAGCGAATATGTGTCCATTGTGTTCAATGAACATCCACTTATAGTACAGCCTACCGAAACAGACCCAAAATCATCCCAACGCTGGTTCTTCTCATACACGGTGTGTATCTGATGTGTTATATACGCCTTTTGTTAAGCCCAAGCTCTGAGCGAGATCAGGCTCCTCGCAGCTTTGGGCGAGCTGGGTGACCAGAACGCTGCTGCGGACATGCTGCTGGAGGTCGGAGAAGAAAGCGGTTGACATGCGAAGGGTTTGAGCGACCGGGCAGCCCCAGACTGGCAAGGCAAGTCCAGTCTCAAGAACGTTGAGGGTGTGGGGCTTGTTCTGCCGTTTACGGCGAGGGATTTCGGTCTTGAAGATATTTGGGGCAACCATGAGAAAGCAACAGATACTGCCCTAGAATGACAGTCCCGGCGGACTGTTTCAAGCGCCATGCAGACTAGCCCAGCAAGTTTGTATGCTTTGTTTCAGAGTGCGTGTGTGTGTGTGTGTGTTGAAGTTTCCACCGTTTTTAACGTCACATCCATTTAATTCAGCCCATCCATTTTGGATGTATCCTTTCTAGGTGCCATTACGTGGTGATCCTGAACCGTCAGCCCGGTAAGTATCCACATCGACATGTGAATGCATAAATGCTCCCTTCTAGCAAAACATGCTCATCCAGCTTGGTACCCGCATTCCTGAACACATGCTCCATGACCAAGGCTTGCCGACTACTTGTAGCATAGCCCACACTTCAGGCACAAGAGCAGCGGCTGACACCCAACCTTCTGAGTTGCTTGGATGCTGTCGGGTGGTGGGGTCAGGGGTTTAGGGTTCAGGGCTTACGAAATCTGCTTCCCAGCTGATCGGCAGAGTCTGGGTCGCAAAAAGGGCTTACGAGGCAATCTGCAGGGGATCTTCTGCCGCTCGCGATTGCGGAAGTGCAGAGTTCTGAAGGGGAGCTCATCCTTCAATTGCTGTATGCTTGAGGCACGGGGCAGGGAGATGGCATCGCTGAACCTGAACCCTTTTGGGTGCTTCTGGTGCTGCAGCCAGTGGTGGCTACTGGAAGCGTAAGTATGATCGAAAGAAACCTACTACTTCCAGCCCTTCGTCCAACTGGGGAGCTATTCAGGGCTGAGATGAGCAATTTCGCATTAGATTTAGACTTTAATGCGATGTCTTCACCATGAAGCCGGCACGAGCTGCGCAAATGAAAACCCAGTGGGAATTTTGATCATGCAGTAGAGCCAGGCACCAAGACTAGCCATTGACACGAGGCATCATTCAGGAAATAAGCATGCATGATGAACTCTTAGCATGGACGCCTTCGCAATCAAAGAGGCTACAATGCTGCCATCCACTCGTGCGCCCAATGTGGCGACGCGGCTGGGGCTCGTTCAAGATTGGAGGAGATTCGTGCAGCGCAGCTTGCTCCGGATGCTACCAGCTACTAGGCTGTCAATATCAACTCAAGGCATTCGCACCTTCGAGTCTAAGTGTGGGAGCTTCGGTAGTGTTAGGAGACTTGTTCGTTAATCGTCATTGCATTGTCGGCAGATGGCTTTTCTTTTGCTGCAGCTTTCGGGATTTCAGCATCAAGCATAGAGCGCGTCCTTGTGTCCTTGGCCCGGCTTGGCAGAGAGTGCCGTAATGCTCCAGACCAGCAAGCCTCGGGCTCTGTCCTGTGCCAGATGTGTGTGTTCAAAGCAGAGGGCCCCCTTGTGGCAGTATTTTCTTCTGAGATCCAGACTGCAAATCGACAAGCCGTAAACCCCCCTTTTAAGAGGCCGGAGCAGGGTTTTCAGGCAGAGAATCTTAGCGACCTGCCGATTGCACTTCATGGAGGGGCCGCCCGCGGCCCAAGAGCGGCTTGAGCGGCTGAAAGGGCGCCTGGCCCAAGCTTTCCGGCGGGAGTGGACAAAGGAGGATTGGCGGATCCACAATGCCAGCAAGGGCTTGCGCTACAGAGACTCCATCGATCAGTGGCCTCTGGACATGGTCGAGGTCTATGCCGACCAGAAGTACCGCTTCTATTTGGGAAGCATCACCTCCGCAAAAAAGTTTCACGAAAAATGCAAGCTGGACCTTGTGTTTACGATGAATGCAGATGATCCGCTACGACATGATGGCGAGCTATCAGATTGGTCTGCTTATTTCCGGGACAAGGGTGTCCAGAACTTCCGGTTCGGCGGCCTTGACACCAGCGGCCTGGAACCAGGATCGAAGAAGTGGGTTCAGAAGAAGGAAGAGTTTCTGAGCATATGGTCGGCAGTCGTTGAAGCACTACAACGACACACTGCAGTGTCGGAGAACCGGGAGCAGATTCAGATTCTCTTTCACTGCTACCTGGGAACCCACCGCTCCACCGCGGCTTTAGTGGCTGTGCTTATCTCGCTTTCTATGAGCACCGAGGAGGCCATCGACCATGTCCTGAAGGCTCGTGCTGGGCAGGAGTATTGGAAGGACAAGTTCTGGATGCTGGAGGCTTTGCTTGAGTTCGAGGCGCAGCGTGAGGCCTTGACCGTGGCCTCTCCGTCGAAGTAGACCTGTTCGTCATCCAACTCACTCAGACGCCGCGCCCGAAAAGCCCCAGCTGTCAGAGTAGGGGATAGCAACCAGACCCCGCCCGAGCCCTTTGTCCACCAGGCTTAGTTTGTAGGATCCTTGGTTTTTAATTTGGCCGGTTGTTTTGCCTCGTTTTGCCACAGCACACCTCAACCCGTCAGTGGCAGAGGAGCGTAGTTTTGATTCGGCTGCAAACCCTGTCACCTTTGCCTGTAAACGTCAAGGAAGGAGAGCCTCTTTGCTTAAACCTTCAATCGCCGAAACCAAGAGCTTGATAGTTGTTCGGTACCATGTCAAAGCCCCCAGTGCGTCGCAGCGGTTCTGGAAGAATCCCCGAGCATGAAAGAAGCTAGCCCAAACCCAACCGCCACGCCGAGGCTACAACTCGTTGTCTCGTGGCTAGAATTGGAATTACCTTTGTAAGCACTTAGCCGGATTCTCGGCTGCAGGGATGTGCAAATGCCCAGAAAAAAAGGGGACCCTGAAGCCTGTGAGCATGGCTGAAGCCCCGACACCCTCAAACCTCCAACGTAAACCCAAGCTCGGAACCCTGAAGCCTTAATCCCAAAGCAATGAGGAATCGGTTGCCATGCGCATTGCTTGCAGCGTGAGTAGTATCTATTCCTTCTGCTGTCATGCGGTTGTTGTACCCGATCCCACAGTCTTCGCGACAGAAACATTCAATTTCTGTACTAGACAGTTCTTGTTTAGTCTAGTCGGGTACCTGTTCTTGTGGCTTCCTACACGCATCACCTTTGAACAATGCCATTTTCCGTAAGGTACACTTGCTTTACCTTTTTGCATCCCTACCTATATTTAATGTCGATGTGTCAGGCATGCCTCTGCACATTCTAGTCAACTTTGAGTTCATGCATACACAATGCGTGCTAGACACAGACCTACCGAATTTGTAGCCCGATCTCCTGCCCTCGAGGCTTCACGCCCTGGCACGAAGCAGCGACGTTCGCGGCGCTCAGGGCTGTTTCGAGGAGTTGGGCTGGGGCTGGAAATGTAGCGGTGTAGCTTTGCGTTTTGCCCTAAGCCCTCCCCTCTCTCCACGCTGTACTTCGCAAAGGACTAACAATGGCCCTGGCTATGAGATTTCTGCTGGTCACTCGAAGCCAAACCTCCAGCTCGAGCGGCCCGAGCTTGAATCCAAGCATCTGTGAATGTCAGACCATGCAACGTATCCAGACAGCCCGCAAACCAGTGTATCAAAGGATAACCGAAGGCATCAAGTGCAAAACGCCTTGTGCGCGCCCAGATCCGCTGCAGCTGAAGGCGGAGCTGTCGCTAGGATGAGAACCCCATTTGGAATGCAACGGTCGTGCAGAGTAGGATAGGAATTAAGTCTCGGTGTTGCCACAGCTGGAAGAAATCCGGAGCCCCGAACCTCAGCCCAGCACACCTTACATTTCATACAGCAACTCATACATCCTTCTACTTCGACAAGCCGAAAATCTGATATCATTCATGGCTAAACGCCTAAAGCCCAGACGCGAGCCTTCACCTTGATCCAAATGGAGGGGGAGGAGGCAAACAGTTTTGCCTACTGTTGGGGATCCCTGCGCCATAGGAGATGAAGGATGCTGCCGTTCGGCCGGATGCCTTCAGCCGCGCCTCGCTCATTCGAAGACACGGCGGCACTAGTGCTTTTTATGTGGGCTGTTCCAAATTATGTTTCGGATTTAGGGTTTGCTTGCTTCATTATGCGGTAACATCGCAGCAGAAACCATCATTCAGACGCACCGAGCGGTACCTCAAACCCAGACCCTCTGAACCGTTTGTGTTGAGGAGCCGCCAGTGCGAAGCCGAAAGGGGCAGCGGAAGCCGAGGTTGGAGATGTGAAGGTTCATAAAAACAGCGGAGCCGCTTTGGAACAGACCGCGCTTCGCGCGTTGTTGGACCCTGCAGTGACACCTTTGCTGCGCCAATGCAGGCCTTGCTGGAGAAGTTCCTGCTGGAGAGCACGGAGCCTCTGCTTGAAAAGCCCAGTAGCTATTTTACGCCAAGACCTGCAATGCCAAGACTACAGACAGCAGTCGCATAACTGGGTAGTTCGTGATATTAGTAGCAGTACACTCAGTAGACTGAGGCCACAAAACAAATTTTCCCGTAACAACTGGACGGGCTTCGCGGCCGTAGATGAATCCGAAGCCTCCTGAAAGCAAAACCATGCTCGCTGCTGCGGCTGAAGGATTTATGGCTGTGGGCGGCGAGCGAGTATCGGAGTATCGTTTGACTGGCCGAACCGGTAGCAGTATGCAGCTTCATCGAAGCAACACGATGAGTAACATGACACCACGACGACGATCACCCTCACCATCTCTAACAGTGTTTAGTATCGTCATGCCGCATGCCAAACCAGTTTCATGGAGCAGCTTAGACAGCAAGGTTGACTGAGGTTCAGGGCTGTGACCTCCGGGCAAGAGTTGTATGGTCTGAACCTTCCAAGTAACTAGATTCCAGGTTCTAGCAAAGCACAACATTGGTTGGGAGGCTGTCTTCGAAAACAACTTGTTGACCCCGCAGAACAAGTCCACAAGTTCATCAGCCCTGGCACCATCCCAGCTAGCAGTAGTCCCATCCTTGAAGGATGTGGGGCTTGTTGGCTACTCCGCGGCCGCTTGGACGGCAGTCTCATGACAAGTTCCATATCACGGGGCAGGCATCGTTGCGGTGCGATCCAGTATCTACTGAACTTGTCGATTCTGCTTCCGTCAATGTGAAACGTGCTTTCCTATGCACTGGTAATTGGCAGCTACCAATTCGAAGCAAGACCGTGGGCCAATTGCTTCAATCAGGAGGCGCTTTGAATCGGCAAGGGTGATTGGAAAGAGAGTTCATGTGGAAGTCGTCTGTGGAGGGGCCTCCGGAGCAGATTAAGCGTGAGGGAAAGTCCTTAGCACAGAACGCTTTCGCAATCGGGCCGCTCGGCCGGGCGAATGGCGCCTTAATGGGGGTCACACAGGCACGGACTCACTCGTGATCAGTGATGTAGAAGTCAAAGAAGAAGACGAAGAAGAAGAAGAAGGTATGCGGTTGTTGGGTTGTTTTGAGGATTTCGTGCCGGTAGTTGCAAGCTTTCGCATCTTCCATAAAGCCGATTTCAGGGTGTTTTGTGTCCATGTGCTTGCTTTCCGGCACTTGCGTTCACATTCAGGAGCTTTTTGCTTTTGGCGCTGAGCTTTCGGCCCTAAAGATGGTTTCAATTTTGCCGGATCTTCCTTGCGAAGCCTGTACCGACCCGGGTGGTTGCCGGAGTGCAATGTGCCAAGATGGTCACGAAGAGCAGGAAGAAGAGAGACACAGACTCACAATCCCTCCAAATGGCTGTAGCATACGCATGGGCCTGGAGCCCGGTTGACAGATCCCGCATGCTCGAAGGAAGAGAGAGAGCAAGAGAGCAAAAAAGAGAGCAAAGCACGTCTCTTGCAGAAGGGACTTGACTTAGAATCTTAACCCGGCCTTGCTGCTGTCCCACGTGATGTTTGAGTGCTGCTCGCAGTGCCTATGGGCAAAAGCAAGTCCCTTCCCCCAACCCCTCCGCCAACCTTGCATTGGTTTTGAGGTGGTGGATGCCTTCGCAAAAGCTGGCATGGGCCGCCAAGCGCGAAAATGGTTCGGACTGGCGCTGGAGGCGCAAGACTGAAACACGCTAATCTGTTGGGGTCCCTGCACCGCGAACTCCTACTAGAGTTGCGAGTTTCGATTTCGGGTAAAGCACCAAGGTGAAAAATCCAGAGGATTCCCAGACCCCGTCCCTACACGCCGAGTAAAGCCTTGATTGTCGGAGACCCCAACTTGAACACCTTGCGGATCCTTCCTGGTGGTCCTTCCGGGTCGCTTCAATTTTGTGGTAGTGCGATTCTTACTTTCGATACTGCCGTACCGATACACCAGTGGTGCGTGGTTTCGGCTCCAGGATGACGGAACACCATTGGACAAGTCATATGCGGGGGGCCGGCGGGGTTTGACAGGGCCGCGAAAGGCTTGGAGGCTTGGAAGGGGTTGTGGTTGTACATGGTTTTTACCTGGGTTGTGTCCGGACGGTACACTACAACTACAGTCAGGGTTACACAGAGGTGTTCACGAAATGAAGTCAGTAGTAATGGAGGCCTCCCCTTACCCTTGGAGCCTTGCGCTGCCCTGTCCGAGTTGCGCGAGGCTCCAAGAGACCTTGGGCTGAAGACTGTCGAGCCGTTCCGAGTCCTAGCGGCCCTTCTCAATCCAATGCAAACCCTGCTTGCAAGGCACGCCTGCAACCAGATGTGGTGATGTACAACTCGGTAGCTGGCTCAGGGCCCGGATTTCAGGCTTCAGAATTCCCTAAACAGGTTGCATCTTCCCGCCTCGACTGTGTAGCTCTTCCGCGGACTCAGGGTTGGCATGTTAAAGCTGCACAAATCGAATTTAAGGATCCATGGGCATGTCGGGAGTTCGATGCTGTGTCAATTGCAGAACGTAACTTTCGCAAGTTCGCATGGCGCTGAGTGCAGCTGCCCGCCTTTCGATGTTCCTGACCGTAGACACTGCTAACGCACTGAGCAAACCTCCAGGTCATCAACAGCTGCGCGAAGGAGGGCAGACAAGACGACGCGGAGCACTGGCTCAGAAGCATGCTCCAACATGCGTGCTTTGCCTTATTTGAGGTTCTTGGGAGGGCTTTACGGCTGGAAACGCCAGCCGCTAGCTACGCACTCCACATTCCAGCCACTGTCCGGATCTTCGGGGAGGCCCCTGCTCAGAGCATCGCAGACACTCCACATGAGCTAAACCTCGCCCTAGAGGCCGCCCAAGAGGCACCTTCTGCAAGCCTAAATCCACTCTTTCCCAGGATGTCTCCCGATCGCGTGAGCTTCAACTCAGCCGCGACCTCAGGGAAACAGAGGACAGCCATCGGGAATGAAAGTATGGGACTCGTAGAATTCGATTAGGCGGCTCATGTAAGCTTAGTAAAGTATGCTGCGGATAATTTGGGTGGTATGTATGAACCGTTTAGGGCTTAGGGTCGGTATGGGTTTAGATTCATGATGCTGCGCATAGTCGTTGCTAGCAAGACCATCATTTTCACACGAGGGTCCCATGTTCTCTTGGAGGCAGCGTTGGAAAGAGGCTTGGAGACTTTTGTGATACTGTCAAACTAAACAGCAAGCCCCATTATCGAGTGGGTCCTCTGATGCTTCATCTGGAAACGCGGTCTGCAGAAAGGGGGTTCAGAGCTGAGGACATTGTTGACTTTTGGCCTTGAGGGCGAAGGCCGAGGGTGCAGAGCAGAAGCAGCCAAGCCCTGAACCACACTCAAAAATCCTCAAGCCTGCCGTCCAGACCAGGTCCTGGATGCCGCCGCACGATCTGGCCAAGGTGATGCGAGCATCGAGCTGAGCTCCCGGATGCTGGAGAGCAGCTCAAACCGCAGTTCACCAGATGCTCCACCGGTAAAGAAAGCTGAGACTCCGAAGTCCCAAGCCTGAAAGCCTCCTAGACTCTCAGAACTAGACCTGCGCACCAAAACAGGCCTTTGGGGAGGGGCTGGGGTTCTGAAGGAACAGACTTGTGGATTCCGGCATTCCGCGTTTATGGCAACCTTGCGGCTTCGAAATCTGAGACGCAAGCCCAAAGAGAAAACCGGAAGCGGAAATCTTCGCTGATGGTGCTCGTCAGCTTTTGGGTCTGGGTGTTAGCTGCAAGACCAGATGTTGGGCCATTGCTTTCTGAGTTCCTGCCGGATGGGCAGTTCAAGCAGCTGCAGTGTCTATGTTGTCCGTTTTCTACGGATGCCTCATCATGGGTGTGAGATATGTAGTTCAGAAGACGGTCGATGCTGGGTTCGTTCTTGTGTGTCTGTCACGCCCTTGGTTGCATCCCTCGTGAGACACGAGAAGGCTCTGCTGTTGAGGAGTGTTCGCTGACACATAGCAAGTGCTGCTGCTGCTTATGCCGCTGCTGCTACGAAGATGACACCTGGCACGGGCAAACTTGGTGCAGAGAGCGTATGATGGAAAAGATGCCATCACAGGAAACATATGGTTCTATAGAGAGGTCCTGAGTGAGGCCCTAGCTAGCATGTAGGATCACAGCTCCACATAAAACACACGAAATTGTAACATAAGGCGCATAATTAGAGTATCCTGGAAAACCTGGTCGAGCAAATCAGGTTCTTGCAGAGGACATACTGTGCTGAGCGGATTTCGAGTTTGTCAGTCTGTGCATCGGGATTGCATGACGGCAATCCACTCCAATGTCTAAAACCTTCATAATTCGGTACGGTGCATAAGGCCCTGACAAGGCGGTGGTGCAGTTACGCGGCCTGTAAACAAAAGCGAGGTTTGAACCGGGTGTTTCCAAACTAGGCGAGCCGTCAAATTTCAACTCAGATGAATTCCAGCTTTCGGAAGCCAAAACCAGGGAAACCACTCACCCGTCCTGCCTGAAGAGACGAGAGACCGGACTCTGAAGAGCCGATGAGGCATGTCCAGCTCCAGCATTCCGCCGGACATGATCAGCTACAATGCAGCCATTCGGGCTTGTGCCCCTCAGATCAAGGTGACTGTGTGATCGGAGGATCCAGCACAGCCCGAGGGCTGCCTGTCAACCTTAGTAGGGATGTGTCCTGGCTGAAACTCCAAGCCGAAACCCGTCCCAAACCCCGTTAAGACCCTCAACTAACCGTTCCATAGGCCTTGACCTTACACAGCGAGTTGCAGATCTTGCCAGACTTGTCCAAGCGTGAGTGTCAAAAACCCAGACCTCCCGCGCCTTGTCTCCGAGGTACGCGCTGGCGCTGCCGAGTCTGCAGCCGCTTTCGTGGCTGCCTTGCGTGGCGACGGGCTACACCCCGACGATGCCGCTAGTCTGGGGTTGTTATGGCAGCAAGGTCACTATAAAGGGTTTGGACAAGGCTACCGGAAAGATGCTGTGATGACAAGAGTTTCAGGGTTTGGGAGTGCTTGCTGTTGTCGCGGAGCTCTCATGGGGGATTACAGCCTGGCTTGCGGGGGCTTTGCGATTTGCCGCTTAGGGCCTACCTTCGCCTCTGGGAGCCGACAGTATACCCAGACTTCTTTTCTAGGCACCGGGCGCCTCATATGTATATGTATCTGTGTCTGTACATGTAGATGTATATGTATGTGCACATGTACATGTAAATCTACATGCATATGTAACTGTATATGCGTATGTGTATGTGTGTGTGCGCGCGTAAACATGCATGCAAGCATGCAAGCATGCATGCATGTGTGTATGTGTGTATGTATGTATGTATGTATGTATGTAGGTAGGTATGTATGTATGTATGTATGTGTATGCATGTATGCATGCATGGATGCATGTACTATTTTAAATAAGGGTTGTTTGCGGCTGTTCTATATAATAGACTAAAGTATGATTAAGGTTATGATGAAGTAGCCGAGGTCTTGAGACAGAAGGCGTTATGTTAGAAAACTCACTAGAAATCTTGCAAAAAAAGTAAAAGCAGGTAAGAGAAAACAAACGTGTACGTCTCATTCCTTGGTAGGACCTGGTAGGAAAATTTTCGAATGTTCTGAGATATTCATAAAATTGTGCCCAAAATTATTCAAGAATATTCATAAACCTTCCCTGATTTTACCCCTGAAGTTTGTTCTCTAGAAAATGGTTGTTTTCTGTTCCTTAGAAACCCTGGCTTGCTCTACTCCTTGTGACTCAGAGAAGACGGAATACATTGCCCCAATTTGATAACTGGTATGTAGAAAACGGTTGTTTTCTGTGACTTAGAAACTCTGGCTTGCTATACTCCTTGTAACTTAGAAGACGAGATACATTGCCTCAATTTGTGAATTAGATCCTTGCCGTTTTCTGTCGGCGGCTAAAACCTTTGAAAGTATTACTTAGAGTTGCTGTATATAGCTGCGACGGAGAGATAGAATGAAACTTGGATTCTGAACACGCTGTATGTATACATGATTGCCCTGCTACTTAGAACAGGAGGCTCTAGCTTTGCGATTCTCGTTAGATTTTTGGTTGGGGATCACATAAGAAGTCTTGAGGGTAGAGCTCGGTCTACACATACCTATATGCATATGTATGTCGTTGTGCTGTTTTTGAATATCCCCTGGTACTCTACGATAACAATGCACTTGAACTGAAGTTTGTAAATGTGTTGCTTCAGGAACGACTTGTATGTGTGTAATATAGCATTTCAAGTGTGATTTACATAACAGTCCACATTGCAAAAGAAAATTCTCGTTATTGTTTTGTTAAAACATCATTGATTTTTTATCTGAGATGTGTTGGTTTTGGAGAAAAAACTGCATGATTTTTAGCAAAAAACTGCTTTCTAGGGGTAGTCCAGCTCCGCTATCCGCGACTTTGTACTGGTTTCTTGCCCGCGATAGGTGGTGCTTGGGCGTCTGAAGCACTTGAAATAGGACATGCCCGGCTGTTGACTGTTGTTAACCACTAGCAGCAGTTGCAAGCATGCTGTTCGGTGAGAAGAGCCATGCCTTTAGTTCCAAAGGCAGGTAGGCTCCGGACATCCAAATATCCAGGAAAGCAATGCCGCATATGCCACAAGCAGTTGATCACGGGAACATCTACCACGGAGTTTACTACGGCGACATGCCTCAGGAGTCAGCAGCTCTACTTGGCCCGGTCACGAAGAACACGCTGCAACTCTTGCAGGACAAGCCTGACATGCAACTTCATGTGGCTTGGTGATCAGAACATCAATTGTGTGTCTTTCAACCAGCTCAAGGCCGCCGGTGTGTTATTCGTGTACCTCCACCTATGTTATCTTCGTCTGCTTCGTGCTAAGACCTCTCCAGGTCAAGAGGCTGCCGCGTCTTTCGGCATCTGCATATCATACGCTCCAGTTTTGGCAAGAGCATAGTCTTCGGAATCACCTCTTGCATGCTTTGGAAGGGTACGCGATGTCTCTCAGAGTGCCCCGGATGAAATCATTGAACATAAGTGTCGTCACCATCGTCGCTGTCCACCAGGGGTAGCTCCAGAGAGGAGAGTGACCTCAAAGGTGAGCCAAGAAAATTGTTGGAGGAATTTACAAGGTCGAGCGGGTTCAAACACAAAGATGCAACTCGAAAACAGTTCTACCAGACCGAACCGCAGGCTGGCAGTTTGCCATTGACCCCATCTCTCTATCGGTGCTGGGGCAACCGATCATATTGTTAATGAGCGCAACACAGACGCAACCAAGTTCTTCATAATTGGTGACTAACATCGAGTCCACTGTCTCAACGCAGCGCCACCGCCGAGTTTCCCAGCACCTGAGTTACCTCCTACCGAGATGACAGCACCGCCACCGCTGCAGCCGCCCGGCCAATGATTGATCCGGGCGCCCGCTACACAAATCCGACCCAACCGCGGGCGACGTCGGTGCCAATGCAGGCGACACCTTGGGGCCCGCCTGTGAGCCCCTCCTTGCCATGTCCCTCGACTCATCAACTGGCTTCGCTAGGCTGCCTCTTGGTGCACAGGTTATCCCTGCCCCTCCGATGCAAGGGCAAGCGCCTAGTGTACTGCCGACAGCTACCCCGAATGAAGGTATCGTCACAGTTCTCTGGGATGGACAGGCATACCTGGTGCCTGCAGGACTCCTCCGCTGGCGTCCGCAGGTCATCGGACGAGTCTGTGCGCATTTTTGTGGCATGCCTTCGAGATGCTGTTTGTGACTTGTTGTACGTGCGGTCTTGAAATCTTTAGTTTTTGTTTCGTGCCCAGATATTGGCATGCCACACGGTATGGAGTGCACTCGGCTGTACATAACCTTTGCCTTAGCCCTGCACTGCTTTTGCTGACTGCCCTTGACGAATTGTCTTTGAACTTGACTTGCATCCGTCATTCAGTAACTTCAGTGCGACACGCAGCCTGGTTTTCACATAAATGCCTACTGCTCACCAGCAAACCTGCTTTGTGTGGCTGTGTGTAGACGCAGGCAGGCTGTCTACGTTCTCGTGGTGAGACAGACAGAGAAGCATGAGAGACTGCTCCTGAGTCTGGCCCGTCCTGCCTTGCACCTTGCACTCCTTTGGGCCTTGCCTTTGCCCGCGTCATGCTCTCCTTGACCTTGCCGTTTTGTTCTGCCCCCTGCCGTAGTGCTGTTACTGCTCTGCACTGCCTTGCCCTGCGCTTTTTGCCTTGCTGCCCTTGGCCCTCCCGCTGTTTGCAATGACGTCCGTCTTGTCGATGAAGGTCCTTTGGATGGTTGTCCCCCCCCCCCTACCTGGAAGCTTCGGGTCTGGTGTTAACTCTTTGGCTGCCCTTCCCCTCTCAATGAGGTATCCTTCTCAATGGAGTATACTCCCGAAGATACCCCCAGGAGACCATGTGCTTGCGGTGGCCAAGTCGTACCACCAGTATGCTCCAAGAGAGACCAATCCAGCCAAATGATACCACCATTAGGCTCCAGCCGGGACCATTCCAGCCATGCGTCCAAAGTTACGGAGCCCCATTGATTCAAGTCTTCACTAACTGCAAAACAACCCAGATGAGCCTTCGCATGTATGTAGCTCGATCGTTCCCAGTAGACGTAGCAGCAAGGTGTGCATAGATTGCCTCTTCTACCGCACGCGACATCCACGCGTACGAGCTTCCAGACATGTCAAGCTATGTGGGCCCAGTCCAACTTACGTTCAGCTTCCAGCTCACCCCGGCCGCCAGCGCGGTCGGCCATGGCATCATGTCCTAACACCAGCTACATATGGGGTGCGTGCTGTTTCGCTGAATCCCTTTGCCTCCAGCCCCTAGCATTTCCAGCCCGAAGTCGATGATACTGCTGAGCTACTGGATGCTCAGTCCCTTTGCTTGAGCAGCCTGGTTAAGCCACAGTCGATTGGCTGGAATTGGAAACTGCTACCTCTGCATGTTGCATGGCATCGAACAAACAAACAGCCAGACAGAGACACAGACATAGACAGAGACAGACACAGACACAGACACAGGCACAGACACAGACACAGACACAGACACAGACACAGACACAGACACAGACAGACAGACAAAGCTGCAAAATACGGTGTACCTACCTAACGGGTCGGCTGGTCGGTTTTTACTTCAAAGGCCTTGAACCTGGTGAGCCAGCACGAGGCCTTGCTGCCTCCAGGAAGTATGCAACGACGCTGGTGAACAGGAGTGGAAATTTCTGACGTGCCACGTAGATTGGTGACGAACAGACTAAGGATGCCGATATACAGTGTATTTATCTGGCTGTTCAGAATTTTTGCATGACTTGGACCGTGGTTGAGTCATGTTAAGCTCGACCCTAGCCTTCAAAACAGGGTCGTGTTTCCTTGGTTGGTAACGCAAAAGTTGCGTTCTTGGTTCAGCAAACTTCGTGTCCAAGATGCATGACATTGATGGCTTTGGACATCTAGCCGTCAAAGAAGTCTTGATCTACCTGGGTGTCTCCGGACAGGACCGGTTTTCGGGCGATGGCCTTGGAACTCACACCTTTCGGTCCAGGCGCGAATAATGGTGCATCCGTGTTCTTTGGATGCACACGGCAACTTCTGCAGCTGGCGACGAACTTGCAGCCATGCATCCAGGAGTACGTGGCGAAATGCTGTCCAACTGCGACGCCTGGAGTTAATGTGGTCGATAATGAGATATTTCTTGGCTTCCGTTACACATATTGCAAGATGGTTCAACAACTGTGGTCAGGCTCAGAGACTTACAAGGTGCCCGCTGGGTGGAGCCCGAGGGGCAACAAGGCCACCGTTCCACACTTCGATGGCGCACTGACAGCGCGTGAGGCAGTTCCATAAGGAAACCTGAAGACTGAAGACACCGTGGCATCTGGCGTCTTTCTGGGGCTTTCAAGCCCTGCAGCCCTCACCTCCGCCCTCCACATC